CATTTACCCCACACTCCCAGTCTTGACCCCACACCTCCTGCTGAACGAGCATGGTCGGCATGGGTGTACGCAGCGTTCTGGTCAGCTCACGCTATGAACGCGTCAGCGTGGACCGCAGGTTCTGCAGTCAGTGGCACTCTTTTCGTCAAAGGATCTCACAATCGATACTGACATGCTTAGTCCGTGTCAACGGGGCTCAAATGGTGGCAAGCATGGATCGCACTCAACGTAGCTCATGTCATTGGCGTACGCAATTACTCTTGCTGCTTTCGAAGCTTACCGACAATTTCCCAGACCTTCATGGTCGTAGCGAATGGTCGTATGGCGGCCCGCTACCACATTGGATTTCCAGTCTGTGCAAGGGCGTCTTGGGGTATGTACGGCAGCTATATGGCCGTGTTAATGAGGTGGCCAGTGTGTCTTTTTGTCGATGAGAAATATTGACTCATTGGCAGGGCGGGCGTATGCGTGAGCTATTTTACACAAGATATGTCGTCGTTCCAGTCATTGATAGCACAGTGTAGGTCGTTTGGAACGGGACCAACACCTTGTACGTTTGCCCGCCCTGATTTGCCTTACGGTGACTCATATTTTCCTTTTAGCTACGCAGGTCAGTCTCCGACCTATCCATTCCTAAACTGCCACATGAACATAGTTCATAGGAAGACTTGTCGACGTGTGCATACAGTGCATCTGGCCCTCATGGGCAGATGTGGAAAATACTCTTCCTGTGTCCCAGGGTATCACTACTCGTCAGCTGGTTTCATGTAAGTCCTTAACGAAGATTTGACGACGATGGTGTACTCATGACTGCCTCGCCCGCCCAGTCATTATCGCCTGGTTCATCTGTAAGCCCTGACCAAGCTGCCCGTCGCTATCGAGGGTAGAGTGTGACCTTCCCTTTCAGTTCAATGTTTGACCGTGATACACCCCCGGGATTTGAGGGTATTCTACGTCGTTAAATCCGTCATTGTCGTGCGCCTCTCTAACAATCCTCACCGCCAACTGCTTCTCTCACACTGTACAGTTTGCTGCGATGCACGGTGTGCTCATATGGTGGATGATGAAGAATCACGGCGCGAGCTTCCCGCAAGTGGAGACTTCGCTGACCACGTCAGAGACCGGCTGGCTTTTCATGTCCGCCTTCAATGCTGGATTTGGAACGATTTCCTCTTTGACCGTCAACCAGGCGGACATCGCTCGCTACGCCAAGAAACCAGATGATCAGGTCAGCCCGAGGACCAGTGCTCCCTGGATAATACTGACGGAGAGCAGTTCTGGGGTCAAATTCTCGTGTTTCCCATAGCGTCCGCCTTGCCTGGTCTTTATGGTGTCCTCGTCGCGTCCGCCAGCCAAGAAATGTTCGGGCAGCCAGCCTGGAATCTCTGGGACGTAATGCAGCTTATGTTAGACCAGTACCCTAGCAGTCCAGGCGCGCGCTTTGGGATTTTTCTGGCTTCGGGGAGCATGGCGCTCGCGCTCATCGCCGTCAACCTTGCAACAAATGTGGGATATTCTCAATCGTTGCGCTCTTTCCCGCCTAACATTTCGTAGTGTCTCCCCTTTGGTAGCGATATAGCGGCGATATTTCCAAGATATATGACCATACGGCGGGGCCAATTCTTGTGTTGTATGCTTGGAATGGCTATCGTGCCCTGGAAGATTCTCAAGGACGGCGCGTCTTTCCTAGCCTTTTTGACGTACGTTTTCGTTTACTCTCGAGGAGGTTTCTAACTCGATACAGTGGATACGGATACTGGCTCGCCCCGGGCGCGGCGATTTTGTGCATCGACTATTTCGCCATCCAGAATGGCAACATTATAATCAAGGATCTATACCTAAGTGGAGAGCAGGGAATGTACTGGTATACCAAGGTTAGGGTGCTGTCTCGTGTTTATTGTTGCTATGATTGACCTTCTAGCAGGGCTGGAACTTGCGTGCACCTGTAGTCACTATACTTTCTCTCATGCCCTGCTTCCCTGGATTCGTACACACTGTCGCAAAAACGTCCATTAACGTTCCAGAAGGTGTTGTTCATCTTAATACAATCTCGTATGTCCGCTTTTAAGTCGATGTTGCTGCGCTGATTGCTCCACCAGATTCATACTAACATACATTGTGGCCAGTGCCCTATACTGGCTATCTTACAAAATCTGGCCGAGAGAGCGGGAAAAGCGTATAGACCGATATTTTGAGGCCGTTGCAGACGACAATGATATGGAGGAGCGATGCGGCCGAGGGACCGACGATGGAGAAGATGGATCAACCACCAGCAAGTCGGAAGCGACGTACCGAGAGCAATCGAGGAGCAGAAGTGAAGAGTCAAGCCACAGGAGGAACAGTTTGGACTCGAAGGATTAAGATTACGCCCCAGAGGGCTGTGTTATGGCCACAATAATCACGAAATTATCTATCAGTATGAGGAGACAACTTTGATTATGTGCGTTTCTAAACACCGCCAGTTATTTCATGCATTTCCGAGGCATCCCTTTCCCATAACCTCGTGCTCCCAAAGGCTAAATCTGGCTCGATCATAATAGCACCGGCCGACCGTCCTGAGTGGCACAGTATTATCTGGGGAACTGAAGAAGCACTGTCGCGTACAAATTCTGTAATACTCTGATAAGGGCTTTCCTTATCTATCCAGGTCCTGAAGCCCCCACACTACGAGAAGCAGGGTTCAAAGCTAACTTGTGCAGTCTATGGAGAATGTCATACGAAACTGATGGTGTAATAATACTGTATAATCTTTGAAGTTCCCACCTACGCATCTCAGGCTTGGTTCACTTCAGCTTCGAGCATCATGTTTACTACGGAGGTTGTAGCCAAATACGGCCTGGCACGATCGTCATACCACCACGCGCATTTGAAACTTTGAGCGGACGACCGCTTGCAGGCAAGATAGCCTGAATCTCCAACCACCAAGGCTATTTTACTTTGGCACATCTGCAGTGGGCACTGTGGCATCCATGTCTACATTTTCCGAATCCGAACCGCGCGACCGGGACGACCTTGCGTCGTATTTCGACAGGAGTGCATATATTGTTCATTCATACGCAGACAGGCGCGTTCTTTATTATCACACGAGCGCAGCCTCTAATTCCGACTAGGTTCGAAAGCGGCTTCGCTCGCCCAGCAATACGGACAGCGAAAGACCTATTTGACGAGCATCCACTGCCTTTCGTGTGACCGTCATTTACCCCACAGTTCGTGTAGACTGATCGCTGCCCAGATTTTCTTCTGCTTTTTTGCCGCCCTCAGCATATTTCCCGTTATTCTGTTTATGTGCGTCCCTATTAGACTCTGGTGTGATGAATACTCATGCCAAGCTAGTCTTGCCTCAACATTCGTCGCACTCTCCTTCATCTTTGTAGCTCTCATGTCCGCTCTCTTCGCATCTGCCACCATAATATCGATATTCAGTGCGTTCTGCAACCCTGTCATTCATATGTATGCTCTCTTGTGCTCATATGAATGCAGCTTTCCTTTTGGTCACCGTGCTCATGATCAATCTCGGCATCGCCCTTTTCCCCACAATCACACTCTTCTGGGCATACGCGATAGCACGCTTCATTGCTTTGACGCGTGCACGAGGGCGCGCCGGTGCTTCACAGTGGGTCCAGGAAACGAAGGCGTTTATCCCAGGCAACAAAAAGCAACCCAGCAGACGTACATCGCCGGCGCGCTCGAGCTCCAATGGTTCCATCGTGGTGGTCGATGAACGCAAGGCCGGAGGAACTGTCAGCGGGGACGTGAAAACCCCGGAAGTGCAGCAGACATCGCCGGATGCCAACCAGTCGGCATAAACGATCCATTTTCAATACCCAACTCTCTGTATGTATAGTCCATCCGTCATCTTGCCCTTTGCCGTATTCTTGTAGCTCCCGGTTATTATTGAAGGTTTCCTTATGTTTCTCCATAATGCATCAATATTGTGGTCTTGCGCTATTTTGCGTATGCTACCCACCTCTTCGGAGCACGTCAACCATCAGGTGCGGCCGACTATAGCCCGACGCCGCCTCAGAGTGGCTTTGTCCGACGATGTGGCAAAAATTCGGAAGTACAAGAATGCGAAGTCTTATAAGTAGGCGCGCCAACGGCGAACATACAGACAACTTTCGTTTTAACTCTACCATGGTGTCACGCTCATTCATAGTCCTCGCGGTCGGCAGTCTTGCGTCTGCGGCGGCAGTCACGACTACCTTCGTGCCAGCAGACTCTGCAGCGTCTGCAACTACTACGACGAGTGCCGCGTCTGGCACGGAAACACTGAACCCAGGATACTCTTTCATTCGCGCCGTGGTAAGCCGTGCACCTACGTCCACACCGACTTGTATATTGATGTCTACAGGTGGACCCCAACTTCCACAAATACCTTCGCTCCGAAGTGAAGGGCACCGCATCGGACGCCGTCTTGGGTGAACCCAGCGACGCTGCTCAGTTCCAAATCACCGACGGACAGCTCATCCAGGACGCTGCTGGCACACCTCTCTACGCCAATGTGCAGACATTCGAGGATTCCGATGGAAAGAAGCTCAAAGTGACTTGGAAGGAGACCAAGGATACGCTGGGAACTTTCACTTTCTCGGGAGACACGACTGAGTGGAGCTCGCCCACCGTGACAAGGGCGGCGACCAATGTAAGTCCTTTCATGCTATGATGAAGTAAGGATGGCTGATAGAATCCGCTATATAGGCATGGCTTGTCTGCGAGGACGAAGACGCAAACAAGGATGTCTACCTTAATCTTGGCCCGTATGCCTACAACACTCCGCCAGGTTGTGTTGACCAGACCATCCACGCCTACACTGGTTCGACGGCGACAGCTTGATCGTGTCTTGTTTTAGCGGGATGGGGTGCGCGTATATACACGCAGCATTGGGACGACAACCAATTGCGCGGCTATAGCTGCAGGCTTTGTCAATATAATTGTATCAGAAATGAAGGAGCGTGAAAGTTAGCGCCACAAAATTCTATTGCCCAGAAGGTCAGACCCTTCCAGCCCGCCTAGCTCAATCGGATAGAGCGTCAGACTCTTATCGCTAGGAAGGCATCTGAAGGCTGCGAGTTCGACCCTCGCGGTGGGCTAGATTTATGCTATTTTTTGCGGGGGAATATCTCTCGATTCTCGAACGACAAGTCACAAAGACAGTAGACTAAGTCTCTAAATCGTGCTTCAATGTACAAGCGGCAAGCAACCATTGCTCGCGTCGGTGATATTTAGGTCCAAGACTAGATTTATGCTCCCGCAATGTGTGCAAGTACAAAATTACATCTAACATACAAAAATGGCAGACTCAAAGTTTACATAGATAGCAAGGTATCGGCTACGCAAGCATGCTGGCCAATTCGCCATTCTCGACCATCTCTACAACAATGTCCAGACCACCGACAAACTCGCCGTTAATAATGAGCTGAGGGAACGTTGGCCAGTCATTGAGTTGCTTCAAACCTACAGGACATCAGTAAAGTGTCAGTGTCATCGAGCTCAGCAACGCACCTTGTCGAACCGCCTCATCTTCCAGAATATCGAATGTGCTGTACTCGACTCCATTGTCGTTCAGCAGACCAGTGATGCGCCTTGAAAAGCCACAGCGAGGGGTAGCAGGGGTGCCCTTCATAAAGAGAACAACACGGGATTGGTTCATGATGGCGCGCATGCGCTTCTCGAGTTCAGCGGGTGTCTCCTCACGTTGACCGGGTGCAGCGACCGCGGGCGCCTGGCTCGTCTTACTCAGCGGTGTGGGAGCGGTTTGGGTGTGCTTTGCGATAGCGGTGGTGAGGGCAGCCGCATCGGCGCCTGATATACGGTCGAGCAAAGTATGGCCACGGAGGATGATGAAGGAAGGGACAGCTTCGATATCGAAGGATTCAGTTATGTCTGCCTGGGCTTCGGCTTCAATCTGGCACACGGTCAGTAGGAGAAGGGAGGAGATGAGTGATAGCGCACCTCGAGGGTAAGCAGCTGCGGGTACTTCTTTGCAAGCTCCTTCACGACTTCGTTCATTTGCTTGCAAGGCTCTGCCCATTCTGCCCAGAAGTTGAGCAGGGAGACGCGGTTCAGGTCCGACGAGAGAAGGGTTTGGAGGTGCTCTGGCGCAGTCACAACATTGTAATTTGGAGCAAAAGCCATTGGTGGTAGTCACACTTGCAGCGTGTGTTAGAGGACTCGGTGGAGGAAAGAGGTCAACGTTGAGGGGCTGATCAATTCGCGATCTACCAGCCAATCCAAATTTCTCACTATCTAATCTAATCTAAATACGCCTTGATTGCATCATATTTCCCTTTCGGGAAGATTTAGATTTTAATCAACCTAGTTGGAGGGCGATGTGCTCTCGTTGTTTTCCAGCCAAACCTGGGATTTCATTGTTACAACGGGTAATAGTCATGCATGCCTAATCTGCTTACCAAAGGCGATATAGATGTGAAGTAAGGGAGCTTCACTGCAACTTTTCCCAACGCAGAATCCAAAATCGGCAGTTGGACTTTCGAATGGCCAATTCGTCAATGGTAAAACTAGGGACTTCAATATTCCCTAACCAGCCTTCGTCCGCATGCGAAGCTTCGACCTCGCTTATTTGAAAGCCAGCTCCCTTTGCAATCTGTACGAACTGTTCGCATACCGGTGGGAGCGTATATTTGCCAGCCTGAGTTGAACTCAACATCAATACACAGGTTTTTTTGGAAGAGCATTCCAGCAAACGTACAGCGATGTATGCTACAGCATCTGGGGAGCGAGCCAAAAGCTTCTGGATAGAATCGACGAGGACGTGATGTGAGGTGTCGAAATGCAGTAGGTCGGATAGAACGACAATGTCGTACCCCGTCCGGTCGACTAATGAGCTATAAAATGATGTTTAGGCCCTATGCCATGTTGTCCGGGGGCAACAGTAAGAGACATCACACTTACAGCAGAGGTGTCGGATCGGTACCCCAATCGTATCCAATGCACTCTACTTGAACCCCGGGCGAAAAGGAGAAAGAGTTACGAGATATATTGTTCTTCAGATTTCCAAGAATCCCAGGGTCTGGGTAATCTGTAATGGTGACCAGGGCAGGCGGGTTTGGGAGGACGCTCATGAGTAGAGAGGGTAGTGCACATCCTGCACCCAGCTCGATGACTATGAGCAAAGTAAGTCGAAAACAATTATTTTAAGGCGTGAATAATTATACCTTTCTTTCCGGCATAGGGTAATAGTCCACGCTCGATGCGTTCTGCCAGGAAAATAGAAGGCGAAAAGAGATGGTCTGCGAGAAGCGTGTTTGCCTGTGCTGGTTATGAGACCCCCACAGGGTACCAAAATTAGGGCTTTTTGTACCTTTCCTTCCTACATAACCTTAGATCATGATGAACAAAAGACGAGGCATTTAGAGGAGTTTACACGAAACGGAATGCATACCTTGGGTGCCATAGTCAAAATCAACGGGCCGTAATTGATAATGGTCTCTTTAACTTGCTCTCCACCAAAGAACGTAAGGGCATCATTCAGTATATCCTCAGTCTCGAGCATTGCATGTATGTGAAGAGTTGCGCCGTAGTGGTTTCTGGTCAGGAGTTGGATCAGATCGATCGTCCACTGCAATCGCATACCAATGCGATTATTTCTCTATGTGTGATTAGAAGTTATGAGATGTTCTCAGCACAAAAACTTTGATAATTGCAGACCGTGGTTTCAAGCAGTTTTCTGGAGTTTTCGGTGCAGGCAATCGGTGATAATGTCGCTTATTTCATTTATGATCTGTGTTCACACGTGATAGCTCATTGCTTTCCATCATGCCATTATCTTCCTACCACAATGAGTTCGAAGAGAAGTGCGGGCTTAGTCGAATACTCGAGCTCGGAGGAAGACGATGCCGCTGAACCGGCCGCCCCGCCTCCCAAGCGAAAGTACGACGCAAACAGTGTACTCATCGTCCCGATATGCTCTAATAGATATCCCAGGAAACTCCCTGCACTGCCCAATTCTTTGACTGTGCCCAAACCAAAAGATGATCCATCGAAACATCAAGGCCGTCTGCGTAGTATGCCCCACGTAGATGGACAATGGGCAGCGCACGTCTACGTGAACATCAAACTGAACAGGCGCTCGGCCCTGTACGTTCTACTAAGTGATGCTCTTCGGCTCGCTCGGGAACGTGTTCCCATTCTCCAAGACTTCTGGTCCTCGAACGAAGCCGGAACACCCAACACTGTGCCAGAACTACACATCTCAGTTTCCAGACCAATCTTCATCCGTGCGCACCAACGAGAAGACCTAAAGAACGCGGTCAAAGGTCTGGCGAAGGAGTGCAAACCGTTCGTCCATTTCTAGAATTCTAGATCCATGACCCCATATCGCCTTTCTTCCCTCTAACAGGTTTGACGTATCCTTCTCTGGCTTCGCAGAGCTAACCAATGATGAGCGCACGCGCGTCTTCCTTGCGGTCGAAGTTGGTGCCGGCCACAACTCCGTATGTGCTTGTCTTTTTCTTCTAAACATGTCTGACATCACATAGTTGGCGCGACTGGCGACTGGACTACGCCCCGTATTGCAGCAGCTCCGGCAGAAGGAGTATTACGATGCCCCGCGCTTCCATGCCTCCTTTGGTTGGGCTCTGTTACTTGGCGCCTCGGGCGCGGAAACTATCGACGGCCTTCCCTTCGACTTGGTGTCCATCCTTGCCGCGCAATTCCAGCAGAAGCTGGTGGCAAAGCAGCACACTTTCGAAGTCGACAGTGTCTCGGTGAAGATTGGAAAAGAGACAACAAAATGGCCTCTTCTCGGGTCTGGCTAGCTGCTAGCGGATCTTTGAACTTGACAGGCTCCTCGATGCGTGTTGTTTTGTTCTATGGTGTACAAAATGGCGTCGTCGGGAATAGATCAATAAACGTTGGTGACTGCTTCGAGCCGATTCCCACAGGATCCTTCGCGTTGGAATTTGCTGGCATCGAGCTGGCATGCTGGGAATTTGCTGGCAATCAGGTTGACCGATTCATGTCCGTCAGAAGCTGTTATAATCTCGAGATTCGAATACGTGATTTAGGCCCTGGCATACCCGAAGAGCTCCCCGTAAAACTGTTTATTGGATTGGAATTTTGTGGCCTAAGGGCCGGGCCCACCGCGTCCGTTGGATCCCACATTATTTCGAGGGTTCATGCCGGTAGTTTGAGGACCGACAGCAACATATGTAGTGCAAACCACTTCACAATTCGTGAAATGAAACGCTATGTCCGTAGATAGGCGCTTGGACGTCCTACCTGCCGTTCTTCTCGAGTTCTTCTGCACCATGGTGCCGCGCCCCCGACTCAATGCCGTCGGGATGCAGTACAAGTTCTCAGTGCTATCCCGCAGACGAGCCAGAATGATAGGGTTTCATTTCGTCCGAGCTTCATTCTACGTTGTGTCCCACAGGCTCCCACAGGGTTTCCGTTTGTACTGGCCTTCCATCAAATTCATTGACACAGTGTACGGACTTGCCGGACCCAGGGAATCGCCGGGGGAGGCACCTTTCGCCGACAGGCTTGGTTGGCCGAGCAGAAACATATTTCTACGACTTGTTGAACTCCCAGCAGCGCTGCTGGGCGATACACATCGTCGTGGTGAAAGACGAGCGTGGGAAAATATTATGGTACGGCCATCACGGGCCTTATAGTCAATTAAATTCCGTTTAACCTAATATCACTTTTGATGAAACGTCGTTTTTTGGGGTCAAAATCACCTTTTGCGGGCCTTGAGAATGACTGAGGATAAAGAAGAGACGGCGGGGCAGTGGTGGGGATTCTGATGAAGAAGGACTGCTAGGACACTACTCTGAATCTGACCATCTCAGCAATGCACCAGGCGCATTTTGTAGAGGAAAACACGTTATATTACATTTGCGATCGAACAACGTCCGCTAAGTACGTTCTTATGGGCCGCTCATATAAGATCCCGGCCACCACATTGGCCACTTCCTTACCGACAGGGCCTCTTGCAAACGGTTCACCGAGATCTCGGGTCCTATCCGTCCCTGCAGAGCATCCAACTTAATAAGAAGAGATCTCACTTTTTGTGGTCGGCTTTTTCCTGACGCGTCCACATTCTTTCTACGACCATTTTCACGCGTCA